TACGTAGTATTTGTGCCATAGCTTGCTTCACCTTAAAAATCTTACTGCTTAGAAGGTATTACATTTTTTTGAAATTTTTTAGTCTAGACAAAGTAACTTATTCGAAATTTTTTTTTGAGGTATGAGAGTCAACTACTGGGACGAAATCGCTAATTTCGTGTGAAGAAAGAATAATAAGGGGGACTTGCTACCACGGCGCTAAAGAAAGTAAAAAAATTATTACACTAGTTATTTGCAGAAACCAAGTCCTTTTAACAGTTATGCGGTTTCGTTCGAAATGTTATTCCATCCAGCTGCTTTCTTGGTATTAAGGTCTTTTATAATGCCTTTCACTACTTTTATTTGTGACTGGACTTGGGGTTACATCCCTTTAAAATTTATATACATGAGGACGTATATGTACTGAATAAACATATGTAAAATAAAGCACTTATACATATAAGGTGTCAGAGTTTATGTAAAGCAAGTGATGTTTATGTATATAGTAAACATAAAAAACAAAGCATGAAAAAAAAAATTAAATTTTAATTTTTGACCAGTTTTCCATCTTAATTTAATACTCTTTGTCACTTAGAACACCCATTCGTGACCCTCAAGTTGACTTGAAGTACCTCTCACAATATAATTGATACAGGGCGTAACAGGTTCATTAAACTATTCTACGACTGCAATCAGGAGATAAGGATGAGAAAGACTGGGTGTAGGGTTTAGTACTACCAACAACAGAAAAGGCGAAAACAAGAAAAACAAGAGTTACTTTACTATAATACCTTACAAGGGATGAAAATCATTTTCATCTATGTACCTTTGCTTAAATTAAGTAGATTATTTGAATAAAATACGTTTATCTTGGTTCCATGTAACTGAATGCACATAAAATTACTTAGTTAATTTATATCATGCTCAAAGATTAAATTTATGTTTTTCTCTAAAAATAATAGCTTATAAGGTTTTTAAATTAGGTTCATTTGTGGTTATGTGTTTAAAATATTTACTAGTTTTTGTACTCTAGACTACTAAGCTATTTATTAACATCAACTATAACGTCCGCTGGCCCTCTAAACCAACGTAAAACCAAAACACTAAAGATGCGGTAAAAATCCAAAAAGAAAGAAGGAAAGAAAGAGCAGAAAGACCAAAAATGGACAAGCCACTCCGTGTTTTTTTTCAGGCAACGGCATACTACGGCCGAGCCGATCTTTGTAAGAGACATTAAGTCGCTTAATCTAAATTTCCCTCTTCTGAAGGGGCTGGGGCACGAGTTGCAACCTGTGTGCGCTCTTTATAGAACTGTGATTACTGTCCCGAAGGATTGGAAAAGCGGAAAATATCCTGCCCAGAGTCCCACCTTTGGTCTCGTGTGTCGAGAAACCGCTAAAAACCACCATTGGGAGAGCCTGCCTTAGGCACAAGACCCAAGGTAACCTGGAGACACCGACCAGCACTGCCAGCCAGACCTCCCCGATTATGAGCTCCTCACCCAGCAGGGAGGAGCTCTCGCCCTGTGTTTTATTATGTATATACCGTACATAGTGAAGCAATTAATTTAAAAAAGTATCTGTTAGACAATAAATAGTTTTTCTCAATTATTCAAATTTTAAATCCGCAATGATAGGTGACTAAATTTTAAATAGGATGGATATGTCGATTTTATATATGCCACTATTTTGTGCAGATATTTTAGCCTTACAACGGTAACACTGGGCCGCGAACGCTCCAAGAGTAAGTCGCATGCGCTGTTTCAAGTGATAAAATGGCCGCTTCAGCACGTGCACTTCAGTAGCTTCATAACTACTGTTGGTGACTTCTTGCTGCGAACTATTTTCTTTTTAAACTGAAGGTGAGTTACTAGTGATGATTTAAGTTTGATCCGATGATACTGTTAGTGTTATACTCATTTTAGCAATAGGAAAATACTTTAACAGCACTTGAACCAGAAGGGCTAGCATGTAAGCACGATGAAGGTGAGACTGACTTGGAAGATAAAAACCTGAAAATGGAAATTGAAGATAAAGGTTGTGAAGACGCCGTTATCCAAAAGCATGTGACGAGGCAGATGGGTTTGTTGGAATCAATAGCGAAGCTGACGGTTTCGAACTTGGAGACGAAAAGAGGCTGGAGAACAACTTAAAAATAGAAATAATGATGTTAACGAAAGTAATAAATACCAGTGTTATTTGTGTCAAAAACTACAACGGGACAAAAAAAATAAAACTACGTTTAGCAGGTCCAAAGTCAACGCCACGATGTATTCTCAAATAATGTGAGTCGTTGTATGGCCCGTATAGTAATGTGACCGTGGGCTCCTGGTTCTGTTTTTCCAGCTGTTAGAAAATATTTTTTTGATAAAAACCCTATAATGGGGATTATTTTAAAAAAACAAACCGGTTATACCTTAAACTTTTTGATAAGCAAACCTCGACAGTCAGTTTTAAATTGTGCCTATGATCGCAATAAAGTTTCGTTTTCTTTATAAAAGAAAAAGAATGTAGTACCTCTATTAAGAAAGAGCATAACGAAGGAACAGTAGCAAATACCGGAAGTTGTTTTATTTTTTTTATACAATCACTATAGGAGGGGATGGATACATATGGTCAACTTTGTCGTACAAAGACCACTGCGAGAAAAACGAGTTCTTGGCCGCTGAGTTTATTTTAAGGTGTGATTGATGGAGCCGACATAAACACTTACACAATTTTAAGAGAAAATACTCTTACTCTTGAAATAAAACCAAATATCAAATTCATACCACGACGCAATTTTTAAAAAGTTTGGCTTTAGCGCCGCTTGTATAACCGCTTATTCGAAGGGGATAATAGTATACCTCAAATCTTCCGAAATCACTGATATGTATAACGAAAGATGATTTAGGTGAAAATGTACTTGTCCTAGTTGCAAAGACAGAAAAAGTAGAGGGAGATGAGTCATTTGTAAATAAGCGATATGCGCTGAACATCGTAATGCTATTTGCCCGAATTGTACTAATGAATTTAATTGAGTATTGTTTATTTCAATAAGCAGTTTTTGTTTATTTTTTTTTGTTTGTAAGAAAGCTATAATGGTATTAAAATCAAAAAAGGTTTTAGTTATATATTAGATGAAATTTCAAGTTTTCTCTATAAATATGTTGTGCCAATTTTAATTATATACCTTTTTATAGGGTTTTAAAAGGTTTGCTTGACAGTTGATACCACTTATAATACTGAAATAATGAAATATTATTAAAAATTTCGATAAGGTCCAAAGGATCTGATGTTATCGTTCAAGTTCTACATTTCCATGTTACCATTTCAAAATTAACTGATTACAGAAATATGCTACTACCTAATAATTGGGTTCTATATGGCAATATGCGTTTAACTAGTTTTCCAACGTGCGTAGTTTAGGGTGCGTTTGGTATTGTTATAAACTGCCGACAGCAGGTAAAGGTAGCGAACATCTAAAATTAAAGAATCATTTTTCAAATGTATATAAGCCCTTCTCAAGGGTCAGGAAGAGTCTTTTGGTTTGATCCTCAGGGTTGGCCTCTGTACTGCTGTTCCCCTTTCAATAAAGTATTTTTTTTTATCTTTTATTGGTCAATAAGGTCCAATATGTACCACGTGTGAGGGTAAACACAATCACGTCAACTTTTGCCCAGCACCTTTACGAGAAATTAAAATTATTTCTTTATGTACAAATGTGTTTTAAGTTGTGTTATTATATCATGTTTTTTAGTTTTTTGTTAATGTGTTGTTATTATGTTTTCTTTTGTTTTTATGTATATTGAGTTTTTGAGTTACACTCCTCTTTTTATAAAAACCCATCTCAATACATTAATTTACGAATCCTTATCGTCTTCTGCGAGTATGGGCTTGTACAATACTGTTTGGTATTTTACAAAAGAAGTTGCTTTTTCTTTACTTCCAATGTCATATGATTTTTGAAGGTTTATTTAAAACTGGATGAAAGAAAAATTTTAAGACCATTTTGTCATAGAACTAAGTTTCCCCTCTTAAATAAAGTTATAGGTTTCCCTTAGCGCTTTGAAGACTTCAGTTTAGCTATATAAGGTGCCTTTTATCTGATGTATAGATAGTATTATACATTTACTCCATTTCATCGTAGTCAGCGCTTTTATATCAAATGAAACCTTCGCTAAATTAGTTATTAAGTATTCTTTCCTAGACAAAAATATTAATGACGCTGTTATTTAACTCCTTGTAAATATAAATATGTGCGGAATACTTATAGTAAGTGTAAAAATTGGAGGTGACCACTTTTATTTATAAAGCTATATCCAGTGAAAGGTTACCTTTCTAGGGCTGGTATACCAAAATTCGAAGTGTAGTTTGAAACAACAAGCGCTAGTAATGAAGCAAAGGCACTATAGCTTTTTCTTAATAAAAATAAAATATATAGTATATATACAAAAAATAAGGATAGAAGAGAATGTACTTTTTATTTTTTCAAAGCCCATAGACTTCTATATCGCTCATTATTTAAACAAAACTATATAAAATTTGCCATGATAGGTGGTTTAATTTAACAATAACCTTATCAAAAAATATTAATTATCTGTTAGGAGGTTTATAGTAAAAAAAAATTAAAAAAATTTAAGTTGAAATTATTGTTTCTCTAAAGAATTTTTCCTAGCTGTTACTTGCGCAATTAACTAATGCACTATCACAAAAGGGTTAATTCCTACCTGCCTCGACTCGGATCATGGTGTGAGTGTTTAAGTTTTGTGATTTGCTCATGTGATAAATACCGAGTATCACTCATCTTTAGTAATTCAGTACTAAAACAACTAATTATACCAAGGAGATAGTAACGAGAGCTTTACTTCGTATAAATAACATGCAAAGGTTTAAGTTGAATTAGCTGAAGCTTGTCATAGAAGCGCAAGAATGCAACGGGAGCACTTGTCTTATCGATTTTTATGCTCAACTACCAAGGGGCGGGGTTAATTTCGCCTGATATTAGTAGCCGACTTGAATAGCGCGCGGGAGTGCCAGTCGCGGAATATTATGAAGTTTGGAAAGAGGTTAAAAAACGAATATAGGGAAGGTTGGGCCGGGTAGTAATTTATTTTAAGTATATTTCCTCCTTATTTTTAAAAAAAATTTTCAATTTTTTTAGAAAATACATAAACTACAAAAAATTGAAACAGGAGCTTCAAAGTCAGACTTTTTCTGTTGGGGATGGTAGCAAAAGCTTAGAAGATTCAGAAGAAGAATTTTTTTACTTGCTATGTCAAGAGCTTGAGAGGGTTATATTAGTTTTTTTTCTTTTACACTTTCTTTTTGTTACTGAACACTGTTTCCATTTAAGTTATACTTAGTAAAATAATAAATTCTATACCCTACTAAAATTCACATACCACACTGTCAGGTTCTGGATTTTTTTACTTCTCAGAAAATAATCACCCAAAAAAGACTAAAAACAGCTGTCCAACAAGTCTTTGATTGTAAAGCCGAAGAAACAGAAACGCTTTTACAAGAACTATGCTATATTCGCTCCAATTTTATTCACTTGGAAGAATTTTTGGATCTAAACTATGCTGGTTTTTATTTTGCTTGGCTTTTCGTTATGTTTTAATAATTACGTTTCGGTTTGTTGACTGAGGCCAATCCCCTGCTTTATTTTTTTCTGAATAAATTCTGTAAAAGTCTTTTCAAGCGCACTATATATAAATTTACGGAGCTATTTTAATGATAATATCCTAATATTCTTTTTTGTTAAAAACATGCTTCTCCCTTTTTAAAACTGTTATTCGCTGTAAAGCCAAGTTTAAAGCGGTTGCTTGGTTGGTAAGTTCCCGGGAACTTCTGTTATAATAAAGCTTTCGATGATTCTTTAAGTTTTTATAAGCTACTATGACTTGCGCTTCACATGTGTAGTTTCTCTAACATTTTTTATTCTACTAACTTTAGGTAATAAATTATAAGTATCAACTTTTTTTACGCTATGTGGTTTCTTTAGCTGTTTATTTACTAAATTTATTCCTCTAGGTTTAAACAAAATCTTAAAAAAGTATGACAAACGGATGCACTCGAACCTCTCCTTCAGTTTTTTTTCAAATATGTTACCACGTTATAAAGTGTTCAGCACAAAGAATCTATTTCAGTCCGAATGCAAGCAGATCTCCGAGATAATAGAAAGGTTATTACTCCGTCTCATAAACTTTTCCAGTGTTTTAACTGTCACCTTCAGTCTTGCGGCTGCAGCAGGTTTGAAGCTACTCGACCTTGAGCGCAATCCCGAGGGCAAATGCGTTGAGCAAGCCCTCACCAAGAACGACCCTGTCCTCTTGGCCATGTGTTCGTATCCTTACCGCTTTCGCGTCGCTTCTTAACTTCACTGCGCTGCACAGGCACTAACGAGCTTTCTCTCAAGCAGTCCAGCCTGGAAGGCACTTTTTTAAGGGCTTGTCAACTCAATGCAGTTGCCTGCGTCACTCACTTAGTGGAATCTCTCGGTGTGAAGGTGGATTGTAGAGACCCCGTTTCAAAACAAACAGGTCATTTCCGCTCGCGTTGTATTACACTGTGTAACATACTTTTTATTTAGGCCTTCATCACGCCTGTACCGGGGGTTTTCTGCACCTAGTAAGGTATACTTTCAAAGTGGAAGTGTCGGGCAAATATGTCAATTTGCCGTTGTAATAAGCAGATATTTGCTATCGAAAAACATTGAAGTCAACTGTAGAGACTTTCGCGGTCAGTCACCTCTTCTATGCGCTGTTTTAAATAATCATCCGGAAGTTGTATTGTTGTTAGTGCACGAATCCAACGTTGACCTGCATCTGATGGTACTTTAGTGGGCGCTTCTAGTGCTAACCTGTTTACTTTTGACTTCCGCGCAGGATAATGAAATGAAGACGGCTCTTTACTATGCGATCACGCTGGAAATGCATAACATACTCGATATATTAATTAATAAGACCGACGTCAACCGCGTTTGCCATGGCCTCCACGAGGAACTGCCGATCTTTGTTGCCTCCCGGTAGAGCAGCGCGTTTAGCTCCTCCCTTCCTCTCTGGCATTCCATTTAACGACTGGCTGCAGTTTAGGGAAGGACAGAGTTCTCCAAAGTCTTCTTAAAAGTAATGCGGATGTGAATACCTTGTCTTCCTCCGGCGAAAATGCCCTCCACTTTGCATGCAAGGCGGGCACCGTCGCTTGTTCCTCTCTGCTGATCCAAACAGGAATTGAAATTAATAGAAAAAGTAACCTTCTTTAACTGCGTCTGCGGGCTGGTTTCAATTCTCTCCTTCAGATTTGAAAAATGGGCGAACCCCTCTTATTGTGGCTGCTAGGATGGGCCATGCCGACTGCGTTCAGCTCCTCTTGGAGCACTGTATGTACTTCGTTCTTTATCTGTGGCTGACTTGTGGGTGCCCTGCTTTAATTTTTGGACAGGCACGATACATTAATACTTCTTATTCCAGTCTGCGACACAGGCATACCAGATAATCAAAATCTTACTGCTTATGCATACGCTGTTTACCGAAACAAAAGCTCTGTTGCAAGACTACTCAAACCTTTTGTTTCCCGGGAGTGTAGCTACAGCGATTTACAGGGTACCTTCACTTTTACAATCTCCTTCACTCTACTTATCAGATTTATGACATTAAGACATTCAGTGTACGCCAAAAAAAGAGCACTTTTCTGATACCGGCAGTCATCGGTCCGTTCACGTTTTAAAAAAAGATGAGAAGTGCCTGCAGCTTATTGTCGGTTGCTTTTCGGTTGATTTGCCTTATAAGCGCGGAGGACGCTGAGCATTATTATACTTCAGGACAGCATACAGAAGCCCCCGCCTTCGATTTGTATCGGCTTTCCGATGCCCATTCGCTGAGGGCGCAGATTAGATGCAACGGGGAGATGTGGTCTCCGCGTGTATTATATAAAAGTCTTTACAAGCTAGAAAATAGAGATATACTGACTCTCGAACACCGGGGGCTCTCCCTTTGCCGCACTTAGCTTTTTTTGTTTTACAACACTGAATCGCCACTTTAACGCAGTTCGAAATTCAACTTGCCGCTTGAGGACCCGCTTACAGTCGATTGCCTCGTGTCTGTGCACGTTAGACAGAGTGCTTGTGTGCCCTCGTTGATCTCATGGTTGCTCTTTTCCCTCGGTGGAGCCAGGAGGCGTTCAACGTGGTAGTCGAGATTATTGACCGGGACAGCATGGACTGCGTGGGAAGGTGCTGGATCATGCCTCCCGGTACACCTGCTTGGTGCACGCTTTCGCTGTCTCCAATATTCACAAAGTAGATAAGCAGAGCCACTACATCCCCAATATATCTGTGTTTGTTATTGGAAACGACTTCAAACCCGTTGGAAAGTTTCACTACAGTACATGACGCCCTGAGTCATATTCAATTCATTAATGTAGCCCAACAGCGCTCTTGTTGATAACGCCATTTTTCCACGAGTCAATGTCTTCTGACTTTCGCTCATCTACTTATGAGGTTCGCCCTGAGTTACTATTCTACTTAAACGTTCCGAATTATTCTCTGTAAGAACTTTCCGCTGATTGGTCATCGTGGCTCCGGGTCCAATAAAACGGCTTTGCTGAATACAAGTATGTTTATTTCAACGTATAACTAGGAGGCTACAAGTAATTGTTGCGCAGTGAATATCAGCGAAAACACGGTCTTGAGTTTTGTTACGGCCAATCAGCGGGGTGCTGAGTATGTGGAGTTAGGTCTCCTTGTGTCCTTTGTTTTCTTTCTTGTCCCTCTTCCTTTACCTTTTTCTCGGCATGTAGATGTCCAGCTCACCAAGGACAAAATACCAATCATCTATCACGACTACACCGTGAGTGAAACTGGCTTCAATCTTCCTCTCAGTAGGCTTACCCTCGTAACAATTTGCTTCGTCGCCATCCTAAATTCGAGTGCCCATATGGTTTTCAAGATAGAATTTTTAGCGCTGAAAGACAACAAAATCACGACTCCGCAGCCCAAGACGCTCTCTCGCAGCCGAAGCGAACACAGCCTGCTCGAGCACGAGGCTTTGAAGATCAACGACTCTTTCCCTTCCCTAAAGATGGGCCTGCTGGTTTCTCATTTTTACCTGTACTTCTTAATTTGGGCGCAACGATCAGGATGGCAGAACACGCCCACGAACATTGGCTTCAACATTGAGCTGAAGGTGCCACTAGAGGACGAGGCTGAGCGCGAGGGTATCCCCATGGTGGACCTGGACGACTACGGTGAGAAAGTGTTGGCTTGTGTGTTTGCAAATGCTAAAGGCAGAAAGATCCTGTTCTCCAGTTTCCATCCAGTACCGCTTTCCCCTCCTTTTTTTAGTCTGCGGCACTCTCTTTTTATGAACGTAGGATGTTTGTTCCGTCTTTGCCAGAAAACAAAGCCGCTATCCTGTTTACTTGCTAACATCAGCGGGCTCCGAAAATCATTTGGACATTCGTTGCAATTCACTTCAGGGCGCCGTCCGATTCGCCAAGTCCAATAACCTTAGAGGTAGACACTCTCCGGCTCAGAGCTCCCCTTTAACTGTATTGAGCCTATTATTACCTCGAAGGCATTGTTTCCAAGGGCGAACCTATACTCGAATGCCCCGAGCTCGTCGGCATTGTAAAATCGCTCAATCTTGCTCTGATCACGTGGGGAGACGAAAACAACAACGTCTCCAACGTGAGATTGCAGCAGCTTTTGGGGGTAGACGCTGTCATTATGGACCACGTGGCTTGTGTGAAGAAAGGTTTAGTGGGGTTTCTACCGTCTTAAGAATTACCGTGTTACGTGTTACGTGCTAACAGGATTGAGCTGAGCTACGGTTCTTTAGGAAGCCTGGACAATGAATCTATCTCCTCGCATCTATAATAAAAATACTGTGAATTATGATATTTAGGTCGCACAGAGATCTGTCGTACTACAGCAGGATTCTTTTTCACCCTATAAGTAAACTTAGCAATCTACCAGCAATATGCTTGCTAGACAAAGCTTGCATTCAAGACGGACGACTAGTTTGCAGTTACGCTCTTTTTCTCTCATATTGCTTTGAAGTCCAAAATAGAGCTCTCCTTTTATTGTTTCTTCACATAGTAATTTAAATAGTGCGCGAGCGTTTTCTTCTAATTTTTATTTTAAGAATTTAGCCCTTACGACTATGTTGAAATTTTTTTTGCCGAAGTGGTGACGATAAAAATTGTTTATCAACTCTGCTGTTAATACAGTGTTTGCACTTTTAACTACTTCTCTAGGCATAGCAAGACGCATTAACACCAGAAATTATACGTAAAGATTAAATTAATTGGAAGCATCTAAGTGTCTGCAGCAAACATAAAAGAGCATTTTCGAATGCTGCTTTAGGTTGCGCGGGGGGACCTATTTTACTTGTTGTTAATACTAATTAAAATCAAATAAAATACGTCAAACCTCGTTTACTTTTAGCTTTCGTTAACTATATCTATTTTACATATGTTTCATACCCTTCTAGGGATTCTTTTTTTATTATTATTGGCCTACAGTTGCATGCTGGACAGAAAAAGAGATCATACTATAATATTCTTTAAGCCATCATTAGGAAACGACTTAGTAAGCTGAAAGTAAGATTATTATCATTGCTCCGGTGGATATAAGGTCAGTTCAACTCACCAGCAATTCCTTACAGAGTGCGTGAGTTCCGAAAGTGAAGGCTGGTGGGCGTTGAACACGCCTCCCCACTCATTATTCGCGGTAGATGGCCTCGCATTACAATTTTTGTCAGTCTAAAGTCAAAGCTAGGAGAAACTGCGTTAATATTCTCAAATAATGCGATACAAGTGGCGCTTGAATTGTGTATCTACATGTTTTTATTCATATTTTGATTAGAGCTCAGAGGTACTTTTGTGCTACGGGTCTATTTGTAAAGCGTCCAGGAGCTATGACTGGTCGTTCTTGGCACTTTAACTGTCCTTGAAGATACGCAATAAATTTTGATTTTGGTTTATTCTCGATATTAGACTGTAGTTATTTTTAATAAAGCTTAAAAACTCGTGAACAAGCCTAAATTTGAACTCGATATCTAAATAATGCTTTCTTGCCCCCTCGAAACGGACATCTACTTCTTTACTTCGTTGACTTTTTTAAGTGCTAATGTTCAAGTAAAGCTGAAGCTCAATTTCGATTTTATAACACCACATTGATCTAAATTATATTTGTTAATTGCGCTTTTATCTTATGGTCTTCCTGTATAACGAAACTAATAACAAATCACCCTGGGAAACTAAATACGTTGTCATAAGTAAAAGCTCTGTTAAGCACCATACAATAGAAAAGATTATTAATAAAATTCTTAACTTATATTAATATAATAATTTTTAATAATATTTGGCATTAAGAGCGATGCTTGAATCAGCGTATAAGGTGAGTTTATATTCCTTTTTATTATGTTACAAACATGTTAAAAAGAAAAAATTGTTGGATTGGACATACTACTTCAGAAAAGACTACGAAATCATGTCTATACAGAAACACGATAGCCTAAACACAATTTTTTTTCGGTTAACAATTAATGTGCAAAGTTAATGGAATTTTGAAAGGTACCAAGAACCACGATTACCCTTACTTCAGTTTATAAAGTTTTCATATTATAGGAAAGCGTTAAGTACTGATTTAATTCTTGTTCTATTTTTTTTAGTCTCTCCTTGCCTTATTTTTGTTACATTTATTATTATGTATAAAATTATAAGAATTCAAAAATAAAAAATGTACCTTTTAATAAGTAAGGCAAAACTTTATAAGGGCGGCATGCATTCTTCTCTTGGGTATCCACCTTTTAGTGAGATAAAAACAGATTTTCCTCAGTTCATTATCAAATAAAAAGAAAAAGCTAATGGGAGAAGAAAGAAAACATTACTCGTAAACGTTTTGCTTAACTAATTAACTAATACGTAGACAGAACTTGTTTCCACAGCTTTTATTAGTAAAGACTGTGTTACTAAGCTAAATAACAAAATTAGCCCGTAATCAATTGGCGCTAAAGATTTTGACAATATCGTCTAAGGGAGTGTCTATGTGATTCGCAAATATAATAGACATTCGCCTGAACGTCTAAGGCGGGCGGGAGCGTTTCTTCTAATTTGTAATGACTATCTAATGGCGTGTTGCTTAAACTGCTTTAATATTTGTATATTGTTGGGGATGAGAAAAAGTACCGAATTGTGGTTCATACTAATTTATCGGGTGAATATGAAGGAGCAGTACAACCGTTCTAAATAGAGGTACCATGTGCACCACTTTGTATTATAATTTGCTGGTTTGAAAGGGCGCTGTACTCTCGCGGATTTAATATGATCGAATGTTGAGCTCTAAGTATTCTAAATTTTATTATTTGCAATACATTTCTTTTATAAAACACTGGAGAGTTGACCTATAAATTTCTAAATAGAATTCAATAAGAAAGTTTACTTAACAGACACCATCTTTTAACGTAAATTAGTGACTAAAAAACTTTTGTCTCATTAATGAATTGCTCATTTTCCCTAATATATTGTACTCCAAATATAGAATAGTATTTATTATCAAAAACAAGAAAGGCTTATATATTAAAAAGTTAGGGTCGTACCTTTAATAAATATGCGCCCTATTAGCCCAATGGCTGGCGCTAAGCTTATTAGTGAAGTATCCTACTCAAGTGAAATTTTATGTTGGGGTAACTTATTTAAAGTTTCGTAGAGCTTCCTGCTATCAATTAAATTTATTATAATTAACATTTGACTAGAAGCGAGTGAGTAACGTAGCCAAGCGCTTATAACGCTTTTAAAATACATGCTAAAAAGTAAACACTAATTCTGAAGGGCCTAGTTAGTATTTCAAAGGTAAAACTTTTTTTAAGGAAAAAATAAAAACTGACAAGTTCTTACTGCTTTAACTAATGCAGGGCAATAAGGAATTAAGAAATCAAAACAATCTAGCTTACTTAACTTGAAACTTAAAGAAAAATATATAAAAAGTAAAAACGTACTCTAAAAATTATAGGGGACCACTAAAACAACGACTAAGAGTAACAGAGAAAAAACAGTTTTTAAAAAAATCTCCAAGAAACACAAAGGAGATCTAAGTATAAATTAAAGGTAAATTTTTTGCTTCTAAGCTAGAGTAATGATAAGAACGACATAAATTTGTACCGTTATAAAGATTTAAACCAGACGCTTACCTAAAACACAGCCTAACAAAAACCATAACAACTTTGCTAGAAGTTAATAGCACTATATAATATTCAATCACATCTCTTTAAAGGACATAAAAAGCGAAGTTAACTAAACAATAAAAAATAAGAAATATAAACTGAGTTACTGCAAAAAAAAAAGGCAAAACGAATTAATAATTTTTAATAAAGGTTACGCCCCCTGCAACTAGTAATCATTTTTTTAATGGTTCCTTATGTTTTAGGCTATCTGCTAGTTTTCGACGGAGAACACGGACTTTAAACCGGTCGAAATCAGATAAGTTAGCTCGAACTTTTCGTCGAAAAAGTTTCTTCGCCCAACTTGTTTGCTTCCACTTGTCAAAAAATTCGAGCTCTTTCAAAGGCTTTTTTAACTGCTTTAGATTTGGAATCATGACCAATTTTAATATTAAAGTCCGTCAGTTGAAGAGAACTCAAACGGGTAACATGGCGCCTTACCCCTATTAAATAATCCAAAAAATATTTTAAATAGAAAAAGCAAAACAAACCACCTGGGCCTTCAACTAATACACGCTTTTCATCTAATATATTTATTATTGCAACTAATTTTTCAGAGTATATTCCATTTACAATTAGTGCAACTCTGCCTACTTGCACAAAGCGAGTAAAAACCTACACAAAAAATTTAACAAAAAAATTTAAAAAAGAGCAAAATTGACTGTTACAAATATTAAATCATTAAAAAAAGATTAAAACAGCATATAAGTAAACGGAAAGAAAAAAGGCGAAAGATACCATATCGAAAGGCTTTCAAGACGTTTTAGCGACTACAGAGCTTAAGCGTCATTCTTGATTTTCTTCCTTTCAAAGAAGAATGAAGTTCACATGTTCATTAATTTTTTTTTAACGTTGTTATTGGTTGCCAGAAATTGACTAAAAAAATTGATATATATTTTATATAGTACCTTTTCTTTATAGAAGTACCGATTAGGCCAACTAAAGCTTGTTGACCCTCTTATTAGTGAATAGGATTACTATAATTTTTTTTTAAAAGCAGCAATAATTTTTTTTATCTTTATGGCCCTTGATGCATGTCATTTTACATACCAAAATTTTTGGAAGTGATTTACTAGTGAGAAATAATGTAGTTAACTCTATTGACACAACTGCAACCAGAGGATTAATTATACTATGTTGTTTTTTCAGTATTTTAGATATAGTATTTTTTTTGGGCGGTTTGGTTATTATCGTTTTGCCAATAAATATATTTAAAAATATGGAATAGATCTCGCCTAAAACCATGTTTAAGACTTCTGAAGCCTTTGTCTTGCGCTGTACCACTTATTTTTTTTAAAAAAAATTTATTATTTTGTTTAAATTTAACCATAATTAGATACGTTAAAGTAAAGTTTATGTCTACGTATTTTGTTTTTTATTGTGTCTTTATGATAGATAGCTTTTGTACTAAGTAACTTTTTTGACCTGTCAGTTACTTTTACTGTAACATAACTTATTATTAATTAGTTAGGATAATAAGCGCTTTACCGCAGTGTTGGTTATGTTTACTATGGAAGTGTTTGTGTACATTTTGTTTCTAGCTTAAAAGACATTCCTTCTTGAGATTGTGTCAGTTATTAAATTTTTAACTACCTTGTGCTCAATTTTATTAAATTGAGAAGTCATTTATTAAGATTTTATTGATTTATAAGGCATATTTATTTAGATATTTTAATGAATTATAAGCAGAAGGGTTCATACTTTTAGCCAGGTTCTATTCTAGGTAAAAAATATATACTTGGCAGTACACGCTCTTTTTTTTATTGCTTATTTGGTTGCTAGAAGCCTTTTGATAGCGTTGTTTGTTTTTCCTTTCCTCTTTGCCGTTATTATCTCCCTCACATCTAAAGCTTTTTATATCGATTAGTATTTTTTCTTTTCTTCCTGGATTTAAGCTTTGACTGTTTTTTACGGTTTACAGTTTATACTATCACTTGTACTTACCCTTCAGATTTTTTCTTTTTCGTCTTGAATTCTGTGATCTTAGTTGATATTCCCAGTGTTAAATATTTTAGTACTTTACTGAAGTTTCTCAAGACTTACAGCGTTTTTTATAGAGCCTTCGGTTTTGCATAATTTATTTGCTCTTTGAGCGTGACATCTTCAGGGTAAACTTCACATCCATCAAATTATTTATGTTAAAAGCCGTTTTAATATATCCTTTTGTATTAAGCCTCTTTTTGTATTTATAGTGGCGTTGAATTGCCTGTTTAATTTTTTTTAGCATTTTAATAATACCGTATTAATAAGACTAATAGAAAGCACCTTAGAATAAGCTTTATCTTAAATACTTGTTTACGTTTTGTTTGTTATGAGTTTCTTTAATCTTAGGATTTTCTTTACATCCATTTTATACCATGTCGCAATCTTTTCTTTAATCACTAGTTGTGTTCGGATTAGTTCTTTTCAAATTGTTATATAGCTCCTGTATATGTAACCATTTAAGGTTAATTAAATCTTTTTATTAACGATTACACACTTTTTTATGTAATCCACATTGATTATAATTGTTCCATTCTAGTCTTTCAAGGCAAGCTAATTACTAAGTACACTATTTTGTATATTAACGTAGTGATAACACTTCCATGGTTAGAATCCATAGGATAAATTACTATGAGTCAACAAGCCGTGTGTTAGCCTTCAAACATATTAGAAGCCAGTCCTTTTAGTTATAAAAACGTTTATATATTTGTTTTTGACTCAAATTTTAAGTTTATGGTAAATTTAAGGCAGGTTCATACTAGGAGAGCTTTCTTATTACTAAACAAAGCCTCTTTAAAAATAAAGGTTAAAAGGACGTAAAATTGAAGTAAACACCAGAAAATAGAGAAAGCCCAATTAATAGCAGCAGATAAACAATCTGAAAGAAAAAAAAAATTAGTCCGCACAATACTTTTAGGGTGGGTATAAAAGTACCCTCCATATATACTATAAATATGATTTTCATCGACCAATGATAATATTTCAATTTTTAAAGCTAAACACTCCCAGCCAACAATTTTGCCTGCAGCTATAACAGTAAAACAAAACAGGAAAAATAAAGTTTTTATAGTACATCAACACCTTTTTTTGCTCAGTTTTCTCACTGACTTTTATATCTTTACAAAAAATAGATTATAGGTTTTTTTCTCTGCTTAATATCTATTAAATTGATAAAAGGGGTTAAGTTATCATTTTTGTGTTTGAAAACAATTCCTGTTTTGTTTATTTAATAAGTAAATTTCTGGCTACTAATTGGTTTAATAACGGATCCTTTTTCTGTAAAAATTTTATTGAGTTTTTGTGTCTATTACATTTATTGATCTTTGCATAAAATTCTAGGGTAACTATGTTGTCTATTTTTTGGTGTAATTGTAATATTTAAGTAGTGTATTATGTTGAGTTGTAAATTGTTTCTAGTTGAGCTTTTTTGATTTTTAAAGCCATCGAGTATATGTTGAATTTGTTTGGGACAATTTTGGTCAAGGACGTAATGGCCCGGGTTTCTTCCTTTTTTTAACACGATGCCAAGCGATGCCCACATGTCTGACTTTTTTGCTTGATTGGTTTGCTAAAACGGCTCGTTGTTGGTTGTTTGTATATGTTTATATATACTCGTGGAAATAATTCGGTTGTAAAGTTTTCAAGTGCTTTTACTTCTTTGCTAGCTTAGAGCAATGTTAACTCAGATTATTATGTAGATTTATTATGAATTTCTGTTAACGTCTTTTAAATAAGTCTAGATTGCTGTTGATTGTAATAAAGGTGTCATATGGCGGATTTTTTGTTAAAGGTACCCGTCCAATGGGCATTTGAGTTGGGTTGTTTTTTTTATAGGCGCGTAATTGTTTCTTTTTTCATGCCGTATGGCACGTATCCCTCGGTATTGGAGAGATAAGCAAACCTCCCGGGCCTGCCATTTAAGTCTATTTTCATAGGCCTACTCTTGCAGATTGATCCTAGGCGACAATTGGTAAACATAGTAACCGGTAAACTATAAGGGGCTAAAAATATGTTAAGTCTATAGTTAGCTACGTATCTTATGTTTCTGACTCGGCTGGCTGACAAGTATAGAAAAAAATTGGTTTGTGGTGGTGCTTCCATCTTTGTTAAGTGTAATTTTATAGGTTTTATCGTAGTTTTGTTATTAATGTCTTCAGACCTCTTATTTCTTGGTTGGGTGTCGACTTCTGGTATTCTTATCTGTTTATCAAAAGCTATTCGGTAGTTTTTAATTAGTTTTCCATAATGTGCTCCATTAAATTCTTAAATATAAATATATCATTATGTGAACAATTAAGTAAAATAGTGGTGTACAAAATAAAAAATATATAATACTTAATATAATAAATATTAAAGCAAGGGATTCATTTATCACCGGTTTTCTTAGTCTGTTTCCAATTAATAGAGTAGGTCATATTATTCTGTAAGCGGTAAAAAATTCATTTTTCTTTTTCTGTATTTTTATTGGTTGACTCTCAGGTATTTGATTGGTTTACTCACCAATCATTTTTCCTGTGAAAATCTAGAGGGTTAGTACTTGTATTTTATGGTTAGCTTGTTTTAAATTTAATTATATTATTTATTTTAGTGTTCATGTTTTGTTCTTTCCATTTAGTGTTTTTGCATTTTGTGTTTATGAACTGTGTTTTATGTTTTCGAGCTAAGCTCCCAAATACAAAAACAGCGAATTCTCCACAGTTCGGACGATGGTATTTACGCTCTTCTAGGCTTACTATATTTAAATGGGATTTTAAGCACAAATAATCTGGATACAAATGAACTCTGGTCTAGGTAGTTCGGAATTTCTATATTTAGGGCAACTATGTCAGGAAAAACGAATCACTTTCCTAAAAAACTGCCTACGTTTTACAATGAAGATAAACGATCGAAAGGAAGCTTTCATATTTTCGAAATCTGTCGAAAGTTGTACTAACTTTTATACACTAAGTGATCACATTACCATAGAGAAACAATTGCTTAGATTAGAGAGGATCACCCTTTGAAAGTTTACGTTGCCAACAAGCCGGATAAATATGGCATTATCATAGTATTGTTGTGTGAAGTGCAAACATCGTATATTGACATTGGCAGTCCCATATTTAAGCATAGAAGAACGGTCCTCTACAAATTCATACCAACACACTGTGTTCCCAAATTGTGTGAATCGTTGTATGGTAAGTACAGGAATGTAACAATGGATAACTGGTTCTTCCCAGCTGGCAGATAATTTTCTTGAAAAGGGCATTTAGAAAAAATAAAACAGATGTACCTCCAAACTTTATGAAAAGCAAACCACTAGTACCAAGTTCAGAGTTTGCTGACCCATGGTTGTACGGAAGCCATAGATGTCTGCCATGGGTTATTTGTAAACCATTTATTTAAAATAAATTCGTCAGAGTTTTTGTTACGTTAAGGTTCAGGAATGCATTTCTTTTTTTTTTAAGTAATCAAGGACTTTTTTAGCCGTCATCAGGTATTCTTCGTTGTTGAAGTGCACAAAATCTTCCGAGTACAGTTGTGGCAAACGAGATATCCGGTCTTGTGCTGTCTGCTATATTTCTCAAAGACCCGAAGAGTTTGTAGTATTCCGGTGATGGTAGCCGTGATTAACACTAGTTGGTGTGGAATCTTGTTAGTGTCTATAAGTTTTATTCTGTGAAAGGTAAATTTTTATTTTGACTATACTTTCTGTGCCTGGAATGTTTTATTATTTTGTTATGTCGTTTAGAAATGATACATAATCAACAATTATGATGCAATAATCAACTTAGATACCCACAACGGTTTTTAGATTAATTG